TTCAATTTAATTTTTGTCAAATTGTGCAATAACCTGCACACATAAACTGACACCATTGCAATGTCCATTTCTCTGTTTTTATGTAAATCATAAAGGATTCCCCTTCATATCACATGACTGATAGCAAGTCAAACTATTTTAAAAGGTAAAAATGTATTTTTTCCCCTGAATATCTGTTATAGGTTAGGTGTATGTATGTATAGATGGATGCCTATCCCTGCCTTCTTGTGAACATGCATGTTCCCACCCCTGTAGTATATCACCAGTCTCTCACCATTAGTATCTTTGCTTTGTTTATTCTTCTCTAGTGGAAAGAAGCCAGTAGTTCTGAGTTGATGGATTCCAAATTGAAGTGTGTTTTTGAACTGCCAGTGGATTCACAACAGGTAGGCATCAGATGTTCACTGCATATCATCATCATGCTAACAACATGCATGTGTTACTGTTTTAATTTGTATGTATTCCATGCATTGCATGTTTGTTTTCCTCTGTTCTTCTTTCAAGCAATATCACATCAAATTAGATTTTGTCATTGTGATGCAATGAATGTGTATGAATAAACTATATTATACATGTGTGTGACTTCCTGACTGAACAAAAAGTACAACAACTGAAAGCTGTCATTCAGTTATCAGATTAGTTTTTTTGATGATACAAAAATAATATGATTTGGTTTTTCCCACAGATTTGCAATGTGTACATTGTTGTATGAAATTAATGCCCCACTGACTCATCCCATGTCTACTGCTCCACCCATATTGCCATCACCCGAACAAAAGTATGCATGTTGTATTTACCCAGTTTCCAGTTTTGTGGTGCAGCTGAAAACTGATCTTCCTTATAAATTTCATCTGAAAACAAATATTACTTGTAAATTTTAATAATGCATTCTTGAATCTCAAGGGTATCAAGTTAGATTGCTTGTGTTGTATGTTTCTGTACCATTAGATTGGCATAACCAAAGAATTAAAATTTCTCATTTTTGCCTCAGTAATATGTAAATCATTCTTCTTCAATACCTCCCCAACTCTATCATTCATACAAATTTGTTTGTACACAAAGTGAACTTACTCGTATCCCTGTTTATATTACTTGTGCGTCTTTTATTATAATATACTCCCTAGTACCATATTAATAGATATATTATATTTTTTCGTGAAATGAACAATCCAGGGCAGTTTTAGCTTAATACTAGTAGTGGATAAAACAGGACTGGTCGGATCTATTTTCAGAATATTTATTTTTTTCTCTGGTACCTGTCACAGCAGAGAGTTTAATTCATTGTTTCATGACAATATTTCATAATCACATCTGGGAGGCTTTTCATTGACAAGAATGGAGTGACATGGAGTTTGTGAGCCACATAGTAAAGATGCACAGTATTCATTAATTCAGCTTTGAATTTATAATTAGCAAAGTCAGTAATGCGTTGTAGCTATTTTTAATGTTTATAAATCTGAGTCTGCCCCAGTGGGATAGTGTTTACTTGGATTGCGAGTTTAGTTTGTATTCAAATTCCAGACATGTATTGGAAATGTGAAATGTCTGCTCAACTAGCAGATCATTTGAATATGAATTATCATCATTTCATGAAAAGAAATGCAATAAACAGCCTCAATTGTTATTGCATTAAAATTATCATACACACGTGTTGTATTTATTTTCCCAATACATATTTAAAAGCATGTATAATTGTAGACTTAATGGTACTTGGAGTCGCAATGCTTGGCAACAGCTGTCCTACTTGACCAGCATTGTGAGGAGTTCACTATCTGATGATATTATTCAAATATTTCTACATACACTGTAGCTGTGTCCAGCTCAGTTTTTTTGCTTTCAACATTACTTTACAACACAGAATTAAAAAAAAGGATAACCGTGCCACGGGTTACAGGAATATGATATCATTAATACTGAACTATTTTTGAAAATATCAAATATCATAATCAGTTTGTAGATATATAAATAACAATTGCAATTAAAAATCTATTTTAGGGATCTCAGTATATAATTCCAATGTTTCATAATCCTGGGATTTACGGCAACATTTTCATTTTTAAGATACATTTGCAGCTCCTGACTGATTTAAATAGTGTTTGTTTGTTTGTTTGTTTGTTCTTATGCTTTTATTTGCTTTACTGTAGTAAAATCTTAAAGAATGATAGTAATCTTTCTATAAAAGCTGATTTATTCAAACCTCCCTCTTTCTTCTTGTGTTTTTGCCAAGACACTGGAATGTAGGTAACATCATGTAACACACTGGTTGTGCCTCTCAATCCTTTTTTCTTTTGTGGCTTTCACGGTGTGTGATTCAATAGTCTAGAATTATATCGTTGTACTTGTGATTTATTTTTGTATTATGGTTTTTTTTTAATTAACACCCATTCTATATTTGCTACAATCACAATGACACAGTGATTTCATAAAGTTCAATGTCGATCAATTGTGTAATGCTGTATAAACCATAATGTATATGTACTTGTGTTGTCACACAAAAAAACGTGTGTACTCATTGTACTTGTTTGAGTGATAAAATAATTTGTCAACTATTAATTCCTCCACACTTGGTTGTATAATTGTTTTTGGACTCCCATGTGCGAAGCACAAAATGGGAGTCTTTGCAGATAGTGTGTGTGTGTATGTTTGTAATTTTAATACTATTCCATGTGTCGTAGGTCATTTCTCTTTAAAAGTTGCACAGAATGGTTGAATTAGTAATGGTGTGTACCTTTGCTGGTTACAGACTTCCAATGAAAAACACGCATGTATTTTCATGTGTTCCTATTGTATCTCTAATGTAATACACGTGTACAATATTGTCATTCTATTTTGTTATCTGTACAAATTGTTTTTAATTTGTTTGGGTCTTTATTATTTCAAATGTAAAGGTGGGTTTTCCCTTATGGACAGGTTCATTGGTTTTCTATTCCTTTGTCATTCTTTGGTGGACTATCCTCTTCTTTCATAGTTATCATTTTTTGTGTATGTGCTTGCTAATTCTGACAGAATGATCTGGATTCTAATAAATATCAGGGTGGAAGTAGCAAGGAGACATCAACAAAACCCAATATCAAATCACCTGAGGTTCGAACCCAGTCCCCACTTGGTAAAGCAATGAACATCACAGATAAGGAGTATCAACGAGTAATGGAGGACTACAAAAAATTACAGTTAGAAAATACTCATCTTAAACAAGAAAATACTGTTTTGAGGGTGAGTACTACTAATGTCTCTGTATTTTTACCTTGACCGTATCATCAAAGATGGAAGGGAAAGGTATATTAAGGGGGAAATGTCTTTCGTCGTCGTCATTGCCGTTGTTAATAATTGTTAATGTGTGCACAATAACACATGTTTTTATACTAAAATACCTGAATTAATTTGAATAAAGCTGTAAATAATTTCCCTTAAAATAATTAAACAAATTAGGCACCAATGTTTTTGTAAGATATTTACATCAATCAAGGACATTTGGTAGACTGCTTTCCCACTGCTGTTCCAATCCTAAAACTCGTTTGTATTCAAAATTAATTATGAAATGCATATTATATTGAAACAAACTATGATGAAGGATATAATATTATACAACTAAGGTCAAGGTCACCAGAGTTCAATTATGTTTTGTAATGGTATATAGTTCAGTAGTGTATAATTGTCTAATATCTGTATTCCAGGGTTGCTCATTTAAATATGTTAATGACAGTTCAGCGACCTCATGTCAAACCCAATACGGAAAAGATTTATCGATGTTATAGTGCGGCATGATTTTATTTTTAAATCAAAAAAATTAGTTGTTTTCGAAAGATAAACTGACCATTGAGAGTAATTAAAAACAATTTTTACAGTGATACATGTAACAGCTAATAATTACATTTTTTTTAAAGTGGTACATGTAACAGCTCATTGTCGAAATGAAGTTTACCCATTAACATCATACTCTTGAATTGGCGTCAATGACTACGGAAAATCTAAATTAGACTCTGATTTGGGCATCAGGAAAGATTGAAATGTTTTAAAAATATTATGCCTAAATTAGAGAGTTTATGGTACATTATAGTGTTGTATGCTAGCAAATGATTTTTAAACATACTGAGAGCAATTATGTTCTATTTTAGAATATTTCCACTTGATCTGTGCTTTTATTCCTGCAATACACACATTGGTCTACCCACTTATTTGATACAATGTTCTATGGTTGTCAGACTAACAAATACTTCACCAATGTTAAATGTTAAAATGATGTAACTTAATAAATATATAGCTTTTCACATTTTATTAGTCCCTGTTTGGTCTGAAAACGAGGACTTGTCCGTGCTCCTCCACCTCCACCTGTACATGTTGTATCTTGGACATGCCTTGACAGATTACATTCAAACTTCACACAATATATCTTGCATCTTGGGTTCTGTATACACGTTCACTTGGCTGTATACTGGCCATTTTTTGTGCTCAAAATCGAGCATTCCTCCCATCCAAGAACCAGAACTAGGTTGTGTATACCGTAATCCTTCTAACAATTAGACCAGGAAAAAATAATTATTTTTGCAGATGGCTGAATTAATAGAAAAAAAACAGCAAAAATATTTTTTGGGTGTGCGAATTATTAGGGGTATAGTTTGGCTGGTCAAACTATAGGAATGTAATTTTGGTAATGCAACTGCAACGAGTTTGTTTTGCACGCTAAGCACGCACATAAAACATTAAAAAAAATTACGCATTTGGAATTTTTTGCAATAAAAAATAAAATATACACACATACACACTTGCTCAATTGATCATTCTTTCAGGCGATAAAAATATGGTACGATATATCTCTTTTTGGAGGATGTGGTGGCTCTGAAAAGGGCCGTTTTGTTTGATTTACCGTTAGACGGTACAAGTGAGAGATGGTCACTGTTGCAGCTCCGACTGCGTAAATCCCTCAAACCAGTTGCCTCGTCATCATCATCCAACAGTAAATCAGAAATGATGTCTGCTATTTCTGCATTGCTCCTGATGAGATGATCTTCGGCATGAGATGATCTTCATGGCATTGGTTATACCGCAAACATTAAACGATCGTGAAATCATGGATGGGCGATTATGTATTTTTTCCCATGCGTTGACAATCCAGTTGACAATAGTTTGCTCGTCTGCTGTCTTCAGTCGGGTATCGTCGGTATCAGCCTGTGTTGCTTTGATACCAGCGTCACTGATAAAACTTGTCCATGACTTTTGAAGTTCAGACTTGAACGGTTTGTTGATACAAACATCTAAAGGCTGGAGTTTCGATGTGCAACCGCCAGGAATTGCGGCCGGTAAAGTATTAAGGCCACAATATCTTGACTTCACAGATTCGGTTATGTGCACTCGAAATGAGTCGTTAACGAGCATTGAATAGCGACGTTCGGTGTAAGGCCTCTAAATCTCGTCTATCTAACGCAGCATTAACTTTTTGTCCATCTATGCTTTTTCTTGGACAGCTACAATAAAACCGGGTGGAGATTGTAGCTTCAATTCCCTTTTCCCCTTAAAGTGCCTGTGAAATGGCTGCTATTTTCACGCCTAAAATTATCAATTGATACATAAATATTTTTAATTGTTATGTTTCTAAGCATGACTTACGTTTTTAAGTGAAAAAATGTGTTTTAAACTTAGTCTACGGCAACTTTATTTTTGTATATTTTAAAACGAGGCTCCTCATTTGCATACAGAAATTCCCCTTGTGACGTCAGAAGGGGAAGTCGCATGGCAGCTTGCATTGCCGATACGTGTAAATAAGGCAAATTTCTTGTGCAGTTTTCTCGTCTTTGACTATATTGTCACTTATGTACTTGTTCGTCGAGGAAGAATGGACCATAATGAACATATAGTATCAATTTTGTTGCATGGGATTGAGTTAGATGCGAAATATGTCCGTTCTGGTGTAGCTGGTCACCGTGATCGTCACCGACACCGGCGCACGTTTGT